GGTACAAGTACAACTTCTTGTGCCTTAAAATAGAAGACCTCATTTTTTGCAGCAAGTGGATTTTTAAAGTATAATGGTAGTTGAGAAAATATTCTTCCTAGAAATCCTGTGTTTGCTATGTTAACAGCATTCCTGACACACAGCTTTGATTCTGTGAAGATGAGTAGGTCTCAAACTCATATTCCTGAGATGTGATATCATTCTGCAATAGATGATGAAGCCTTCCACAATCCTCTGTGGTTTACTAACAGATGAATTTATCATCCATCCAAATATCTCACTGTAACTTCACTACCTTAAATTAGCATCTGTCCTAGATTAATTGAAATAAGGTTGGTTTAGGCTACAGGAATTTATTTAGCTCTTCTCTATTCCAATCAAAATAAGTTGCATGAAATATTTTAAAAGCTAATAAACTTTCACTTACATAAGTGAGCCAGATGTATATCTATGGAGCTGAGACTACAAAATTTTTGTCCTTCAGTTTGTCCTTACACTGACATTTTGCAGTGTAAATCTACTGTTAATTTTATTTTGGGATTTTAAACTGCATGCTATCTTGTTTTATTTATTGCAAAATTGCTGCAAATTCAGAAGAAAAATTAAGAAGTAATCACATAATAACACCATTTTTCTCTAGCTCCAATAAAGCTAGGTACTGGAGATTTGTAGAAAAAAAATTGCATTCATTGAAAGAGAATAATTTAGAGCAATCCCATAAGGCCAATCATAAATCGGAATCTGGTATTTTCTACATCCTAAAATAAAAGCTGCAGTTATACAACTCGATATTTGAACTTCTTGATTCTGGCAAACAATGGCTGAAAACTCTTCTTCAGCTGATACCTTGCCTTGAGGCCAAGGTATCTGTGACTATGGAATACTGACTGATGTTTCCCTAGGCTATAGTCTCTCTCTAAAGACATTGCCTGGCCCCAGTCCAAACAGAAAATAGTGGTTTTTTTCTGACAGAAAGAAATAGCTAATTGGGACTCTACTGCTACTGGGAAAACACCAAATGTACAACACAGTTCCTCAAATCCCAAAGTTCAGGAAGTGACTATAAAAAAAATAGCAAAACGCATTACTTGAAAGGGCTGTGCAGAGATGCTTATTTACTCCACCCATATTTTAAGATCCTGGGTGTACATACTCCTTTGTCCAGAAGTCAGACAGCTTTGTTAGAACAATACCCTGGCCTAAAAAGTAAATTCTTGTAGAAGGCTTATTTCAAAAAGTAATAAAGCCCAATGAACTTGACAGCCACTGAAAAACAGTAACATTCTTCTTTAATGTAAGTTCATTATTATTTTATTTTATTCATTATTATTTTATTTACCATCAGAAAAATGTATCCTGACAGCATATGTCACAGATTGCAAGGTAGATCAGGAGTTGTTCACTGCGAGTCCTTATCACAGTTGTCATCATGCTTAGACTCACGAACTAACAGTGAGTTGTATTCATTGCTCTCCTTTTTTCAATGCATGCTATTATAGAGCATTAGTCAAATCTTTTGACTACTAGTGTGCAGGGAGAATTTTACTTGCTGGTGCTCATTTATGTTATCCATAGATTTCTATGTATAACTAATGTGGAACTGGGTTCGAGGACATTTACAAAGCCATACAAAATTGTCAGGATTTAATGTTTTCAAATAAAGATTGCTCAGATCCTACTAACATAAAAGTCTGAATAGCTTACTGAGCACTACAAACCCTGGGTGAGAAGAAAAACAAAATATCATTTCTCAATATTAAAAAAACCCGAAGTGTATGTGATATGAATTTTAAAGTAGTTTCTATTACCATCAACTTTTTGGCAGAAGAGTAGAAATTTATCCAGAGATCACGGAGCATTCTATAACTAACTGGTGGACATCCTCCAGCGGTATTTTTTACTTTCCTCTATTTACATACAAATTAAGTCACTTTCTTTTGTTATAGCTCACAATAAAAACACATATGCAATTATTTTTTCAGCATCGGTATTTTCCAGGGCACATCCCAAGAGCTTCTAGAGCTAGAAGATATAGCTATATAGCTATAGCTAGATAAGGCCCATATGTGTCTTGTAACAACAGAACTTGATTTACTAATAGATAACGCACCCGGTAGTATCTCAAGCATGTCAGAATGTAATGTTGAACTCAAACCTATAAAAATAAAGGGGGGAAATGTACGTATACAGTTACATACTGGAAGTACATATATGAACACATGTATATGTTTAAGTATATATTCACATATTAACTAGGCATTGTTATGGATGTGGTATCTATAAAATATATATTATTCACACTCTAGATGATATGTATCCTTAAACCCATTTACACTAAATAACCTACAGAATGTCACAGGCAGGTGATGGAGAAATAGAGAAGGTGAACTTAGTATGGAAGAATGAATAGCTTATGGGATATAGGAGACAGTAACATCATTGCAGAAGAATAGTTGCTAGGAATAAACTTAAACATATGTATAATCAATAAGAGGGCAACTCCATTCATTAATCATGACTTGTTCTGTTCTGGATGATCTGTTTTGTTGTTTACCCATGAATTACTGATATAACATTTTTTAAAAGAGCCTACAAACACTTAATTCTTCCCTCTGATGGCTGATACAACTAATAAAAGATTTGCTACATGTGTATAGGAAAGCTATATTGAAGAGCTGGACTATCTTGAGAAAGCTGGCATTCCAGCTGCGGTTGAGAGGTTCTAAGCTCTGTTCTCTTTTTGATCAGTACTCTGATGTATCTCTTTCCAAGAATGGGCTTTGAAATTGTTGGCAATATCATTACATCTTCCTGCCCTATACTTTTTTTTTTGTAAATTTAAATTTATTTAAAATATCAACATAGCTATAGTCATATTGAAAAATGTCACTTCATTTAGTTCTTCATTTTACATGGGGATCCACTGAGAGAACTTATCTCTAAGTGTCCTTCCAACAAAATAACTGAAGAACTTTAATCGGGACCATTTTCTTCTGCTCAGCATCCTATCATATCCTTTCATTACTACTTCAGCTAACCACCTCATACCCATTATTTCACATTGAATAAAGTCAAGCATCGGATTCAGAAGTCCAAGGGCTCTTAGTAAATGACTATGTATCAACACTTTCCAACGATTTCCATCAACATTTATGATTCCCAAGTCAGGGATACAGGGACTTTGAAAGGCTCAGCATTTCAAAAGTCAGAGAAGGAGGAACTATAAAGCCCAATTACAATTCTCTTTTTTATGATGGTAGAAGTGGAGATAACTGTTAGGAAGAAGAAGAATAGTATCTTGGATTCCCCTATCCTCAACTGGACAGCAGCTGGGGAAAAAGGGAAGTATGAGGGAAGGCAGGACGACGTGTTTGGACCAGCAGAAGGTGCTAGGAACAAGTAGGTATCAGGATGAAATCACAGCAAAATGTGCTAAGTCCCTCTATAATTAATTTGAATTTAATTATTCCCTATGTTATTAGGAACATGCTTAGGTACAGTCTATATATTGCCATAACTGTAGCCAGAAAATTCAGAGTGGTAAATAATTTTACACCAGTTAAACAAAATCTCTGTATTTGTAATCCTCACAGTCCTCAGGGATGTAATAAACACAGTTATACTCTAGAAAAATACTAGACATGCAACTAATGGGCTACCCTGTGATTTCTTTCTCGGTCCTCATGAAGCTTCACACGTAGGATCACTGAAGTCACCAACTTAAATTTCTTGAGTAAATATTTACCATCTGAATGATTCAGTGATAAAATATTTTGAAGCTTCAGCTGAAATTATAGGAAAATCATTAGCCTTTTTACCTATGCAACAGACACTGTAAATCTGTCTCAAGGAGCTAAGTTTTACAGGCTCTTGCATTTTTCATGAGGAATTAAATAGAATATTTCATTAAACCAGATAGATAAAATCTGGTCAGTTTTCATTTTCAAAATTAATATAGTTTTATCTTAAGTTACCTAAGATTCCTAAATACACAACTACTGTTGGACTACCTACATAATGACAAAGTCTATGCACTTACCACAACAGTACAGCAGCACTCTGGTATAAAGAGGTTATACTATAAAAGCTGGTATAAAATTGAAATTGAAATATATACACATGAAGAGGGAAGCTTTATACAGATGAAAACGGGAATTTAAAGTTATAAAATAATGTATCAAGAAATAATTAAAGATTTTCCTTTTAATTAATGCATATACTGTGAATTTCTTTTCAGTTTTGATTGTTATCCACACCAAAAATATGTTTTGATGCTTCTAGAAGTTTTAAACTCCAAACCCATGCCTCCAGCAGGTTAAGTTCATTCACCCATGAAAGACATACTGTGTTAATTTAAAACTGAAAATTTTAAATGTTATTTTAAGATAAAAGCTGTTAAGTGGATAGGATATGCTTTGGAAAAACGTCAGTTTATGGACAACACCCCACTGGGGCTATTTAGGTAGAAAAGTAGCATTCTGCAGTGCTGAAACCTAAGTTATGCAGTCCTAAGAGTGAACAAGACAACTGAAAAGCAAATAGAGACAGACAAGTGAATGAGTAAACTAAGGCAAATTATAGCACAAAGTGAATATTTACAGCTAAGAATTGTATACACAGTTTATTTCACAGGAACATTCATCTTCCTCTGGAGAGAAGCAAGAGAAAGACAGCTAACATTGTCGTATTTACTTTTGCCAGACTAGTTACTCCAGTTAAAAAAAATAAGTTGGAAGGCTTTTAAATAAATGTGGTTCTGCACTATATTTGTAAGAGATCAAGAACAGGAGTCCAAATGGACAATATTAACATAGACTGATCCCATGAAGCTTCTAGTTTGAATAAAGGTTCTGCTACCACCCAAGGAACACTAATGCTGAATATGACATTTAATTAAGAAATGTCAGTTCAAGGCAAATTCATATACAGGTATTTGTATATAAAAAGAATATGTTCCCCACCCCCCTCATAGGAATAGTAATTAATTACTCTATAGTCACCTTGTGGTTGACGAGTTGGATGATATATCTGAAGATCAAATGGCTGAGCACTTGTTTTTTGGATTACACTGACATTTTGGCCAGTCCATTTATTAGCTTTTGCAAGTGTATTTGTCCGCCAATCTGTCCAATATACTTCACTCCCATACAAAGAAACAGCAAAAGGGTGAGAAAGATATTCATGACCCCGTATAATCTCTATCATGCCGGTTCCATCATATAATGCAGAATAAATGGCATCCGATCTACAAGATAACCCCAAATTGAAGATTACATAAAAGTAACATAAAAATCACACGTCTATTATCACATTAGTGCAAAATGTGTAAAAGCCTTACTCTTACATACTGGTAAGACCAAAGAATGTTTACAGTGCAATCATTAACTTCAGAGATGATTTAGTTCAGATTATTAATTTAACTAGGGATATAAAATACTCTTTTGCTTGTATACTGTTTTTAAATTCAAGTTTACATCCATGTAGTGAAAATACAGCAGGAAAAATCAGTTTCCATTCCATGAACTTATGGAAAAAACAGTGCAATAGCTTGGGTCTTCCATGCGTAAGCGTCAGGGAGGAGACATGGGCAACTGCTCTCCAAGGCACAGGGAGCCAGGAGCCATGGCTGACACCACAGATTTATACATATTTATATAATAAGAATACAGTTATCACTTTACCTGGCATCTGTCCATACTATTCTTTTTTCAAAGTGATCTACAGTAAGGCCATTAGGCCAGGCTCCAGTATCCATATCTTTATATATGATCTTTCTTTCCGCTCCGCTCATGGAAGCGGATTCAATGCGAGGAAAATTTGCATCCCAGTCTGTCCAAAACAGAATTCTGGTAAGAGGAAAACGAAGAGAGGTATAAGAAGATATTAAAGCATGCAGAATAATTCCAATGGGTTCAATAAGACAATAGTTGGAAAAAAAGTTCAAAAACATCCACGTTTTAAATGAAAGGAATAAACATAGATGAATTTGGGCAACTATACAAATCCCTTGAATTAACAGGGTAACGTGGAGGTAGTATTTAATTATTAGTGTTAGAGCAATCATGAAATTCAAGAAGTTTAGTATCATTCCCTTTTTCATGCCCATTAATACAAGCAACAGCTTGTTTTGTCTTCCTTCTATAATTAGAAACCCTGCTCATTAAAAAAAAAAAAAAAAAAAGAGAGCCTTTGAAAGCAATCCACAGATGAGGAAGGGAGAAAAGGAAGAAAGATGATTTGAGGTAGCAGGAATTAAGGAACATGATAAACTAGAGATTTCCACTTATCATTAAGAGTGTTCCAATGAAGACCCCTAGATTTTAGTATGTCACTAATGAATGTTATGCAATTTTATATTTTTTTCTTGCTAAGAAAACCAAAAAGATGTGTTGCATGGTAGGTGCTCTCAGTTATGTACTGTCTCCATTTTTATTTTTTTTTTTTCCAGTAAGGAAAGCTTTCACCTTTATAACCAAGGGAGTTTCTTGTTAAGTAACAGAAGCAGTGTCACAAAAGGCCAAAAATACGCTCGAACTGTTCTTAGCTTATTAAGTTCTCAAGAAGACACATTTATTTTTTTTTATTTGTTAAAGGAAAAGAATACTTTTGGTATGAAAACTTTTAATTAATTGTAAAGAGTTAATTGCAGAGTCAGACTGTAACAAAACTTTGACAAATAACCCAGACAGCTTCAGTGCTGAACATATATTCTAATAAGGCCTCTCCATTCAGTGCCTGTGAACAGTAGTACACGCTATATTTAAAGAGTAAAGGATAAGGGTATAAACAACCCCTGTCTTTCTACCAATTCCTTTCTACAAATGCCTGTTTCTGCCTGTGTAGATCATTGTGGCCAGTCATGTGTATATGCATGTAAGTTTAGGTATGTTGTATATGTGCATCTCTGTGTCTGTGGACTGGGAATACATGCTCAGCCTCAGTGCAGGTTGGAATCAAAGGCATGGAGCTATGGCAGCCTCACTCCACTGGGATTTGTGCAATCCTAACACAACCATCTACTTTGAATCATCAGTGTTTATTCATATTTATTTGTGAAAAGATTGAAGAGCTGTTTCCATCTGTGTTCAAAGATAGTATTCGTTCCTTACTGCTAACAAAATGTAGCATACAATTGCTTCTAGCGTTTTAAAAGGCAGATTAAGCCTTCAGTTTCAGCAAGAGTGGTGATTTTTTTTTGTCCTCCCGAACATTTAATTTGAACAACTTACCTGCCAATTCTTCTGCCAACAGGAAGCCTCTTTTTAGAGATCTCTATAAATAAGTGATGCACTCTGTAAATAAACTTTCTAGCATCTTAATTGAGCGGGCAGGGTCTTCACTCATTAAAGCATATAATTCAGAATTTTAGGTCCCAAAGAGACTTCAAGTCCCAGAATCTGGGACCTTTATCAACTTTTATTTTTATGTCCACACACGTGTTTCTGAAATAAATATTCAGTGAAGCACATGACGGACCATAGCAGGTTCCTAAACAAAATTAAATAGGATTCTGAAAAATCAGTATAATTTATATTCTTGTAGTCACATTTAATTTTTATTTTCTTTCTCTTTGAAAGAACAAATATGAGATGAGGACGTAGCTACTTCACCATTACCTTTTGGCCTCTCTGAGGTGATCCAGCTACACACAATATTGGCTAATGAGGTTTCTGTATGAGTTTGCAATTTCATATAGCCTTCAAACACTGCTCTAACTCCAAGAATCCTAAAATTTTTGTACAGAATCAGAACTGGCACCTGGCTCAACAGGGAGTTAAGGGTTCCATTAACAGTTTTACTTCTCTTCCACTACTTAAGTTTCTTGACTAAAATTTTAGCATAAATGGTATGTATGGGTTATTTTTGCTTCGACAAAAAATGAGAGGCTAATTTTAAAAGGAAGCAAAACTATCCTAAGCAAAGTTTTAATGTTAGTGGCTTGGGTTTTTTACTGTGAAGATTTTAAAATGGAATTGTGAAACACATTTATACTTTTCATGATTGCTAAAGTTACACTTTATGGGAAAACGGATTTTATTGTGTTAGCATATTACCAAAATCAGGCAATATTTTAATTTAAGCATTGTTTTAAACACACAATTTTGGTCTGTTTTACTTAACATTTTGTTTGATATTTATGAAGTGTAGTGACAGGACAAGGGGTAAGGGGTTTAAGCTGAAGGAGGATCAATTTAGATTAGATGTGAAAAAGAAATTCTTTACTGTCAGAGTGGTGAGGTACTGGAACAGGTTGCCCAGAGAGGTTGCGGAGGCCCCATCTCTGGAGTGTTTAAGACCAGGTTGGATGAGGCTTTGGGCAACGTGGTCTAGTGGAGGTGTCCCTGCCCGCAGCAGGGGGGTTGGAACTAGATGATCTTTGATGTCCCTTCCAACCAAACCATGCTATGATGATTCTATGATGATGAAAACATTCTAACATTTACTAGAAATATTTGATTTGGCAAACATTATCTCCATTTTAAAGATAGAGAACCAAACACAAAAGGTGGGATTTACCTCACTCAAGACTCACACAAAAGTCTTCCAGTAACATCTAAACTATCCTTTTAGTCCCACCAAAAAAACCAGTCTCTAAGTGAGATGAATCACCCTGGCAATACCTAAATCTCTCCATTAATCATATGGGAAGGTTAGACCAAAAACTCCAGTTACTATCATCCACATGAAAAAATTAAATGAAACAATCACATAGCAAGGGAAGTAATTTGCCAACAAATAGACCTCTGTATCTCCTTTTCTTAACTCTTTTCTTAACTGTTTTCACTGGGGCAAAACACACTAATAACGGATTGTATTTCCCTCAAAATACACTTTCAAGAGCTATTAAAGACAAGTTAGGAACTCACAGCAAAAAAGGAAATCAAATAATGTTGCACTTAAACCTCTACCTTTAAAATACTTTGCAACATGAAAAAGTAATCTTTTTATAATTACCCGTATCTGGGATCCAAAGCAATAGCCCTTGGATGTTCCATAGCTCCTGCTATTAACGTCGTTCTCAAAGTGCCGTCTAGTTTTGCTACTTCAATTTGGTCCAAATTACTATCTATCCAGTATATGTTTCCTGCAATCCAATCTACAGTAAGACCTTCAGGTGTTGCCAGGCCATGTTGTACTACCACCTCAATGGCACTAACACCTAAAAAAAAAAGGGGTGGGGGGGGGAGAGAAAAAAAAAGAAGTAAAAGAGAGTCTTAAAGAACTAAAAAGAGTCTGATATACTTAACATGGACATACAAGTCTATCATATGCTTTTGGGAGTGAATTCTTGATTAATGTGATGGACGATAATACTTTGTTCCACGTGACATTTTTTCTTTACAAATGCAATAGGCTGCTGTAAATAAGTACACTTTTGGAAGTATAAAAATAAACTTCATTCCACAGCAATAGAAATTTTTAATAAGTAAAGCTCTGAAACGTTCAATAAAGGTCAGAGATCACATTCAGAGAAACACATGTGCCCTATTATCAGTGACCTCTTTGCAGCATCTGTGGAGGACATGCTCATGCATCGCCTCCCAGTGAGTAGACATATTAGACAAAACTCATGCAGTTCTATTTCAGTTCTTTCTCAATCAGAAAAGGAGAAAACTGAAAGATTGTGATGAAGACAGAAATGTCAGGGAGAACCTTGTTCGGACTACACATTTTGAAAAGCTCTACAATAAATAGCCTTACTTTGTTCCTTTGAATTCATGTGCACAATTCATACTGCCACTGCTAACAGCTCTTCCCTACCAAATGCTTCCTCTGGAGGGTGTCAACATTTTTCACACAACGGGCAACTACAGAAACACTCTGGTAGCCCTCAGGACTTCCAGGAAGGCACTGTGCTTTTTGCAGATGCAAGAGAGTTCTTGATAGCTAAAAGACTAAGGGAGTAATTTTTTTTTTTTTTTTTTTTTTTTAAATACAGCACTGAAGTCACTTGTGTTCTGGTATGGTGTCATTATAATACAGCATGATGACAACAGACTGCCTTACTAGTTTAATACAAAACCATAACCATTGATGAAAAGTAGCAAGTCTTTGGCTGTCTTTCCATACTTAGCAGTGTCGAATATTTCTTTCCTGGTTTGGATCTGTGGATGTAAAAATACCCACAAATACCATCTACTAAGGAGAACAAAAACCTTCAAAAAAACCAAAACCCAAATGTGTAAGAGAACATGTGCATAAATGCATACATGAACTTTTACAGAAGCAAGTTAAACATGCTTATGCCTGTAGCTCACACAGGAATGAAAGCACCTGAAATACACTTTAACAAACATTTTGCAGAAACACATTTATAAAAATTATGAGATTATATTGAATTACAGGCCATAATTATGTCACTAGCACAATGAACAAGTCTTTCTGAATGCTATAAAATTATAAAGCAAAATCTTTCACCTAGTGAGAGCTGATAATTTATCATACGTCTGATAAATTCCTATACTTTTTTAATAAGGTGAGGGTAAATTACAAAAAAATGAAAAAAAAATCAATATTGCCCTCATTGGACCAGGAAGAAATATCAGCCCTTTGGATTTGCCATTTCCTTCCCTCTATAGTCTATTGCAAAAGTAAAGTTTTATAACAAAAAGTCTTTTTCTAGCTCTACATCCAGTACAATCTAGATATACATCTTTTTAAAGGCAGAATGCAATCATAAATTCTGTTTCTGTGAATGGTAGCTCAGTTACTATTTATCAGGTCTAACACCCTGTAACTGCAGTTGTTCTTAGTGTTAAGAAATTAAAGATTAATTTCATACCTCCAGTATCAGAGAGCTTGCCTCTGTAGATTTTGTCCTCTACCACATCTGTCCAGTAAAGTAAACTCTGACTGAAATGAAAATCAAGTGCTATTGTATTTCTTAAACCAGGAACTAAGAGGCTGTAGTCACGTTTGTGTAGATCAATTCTTCTGATCTCATGTCGAATAGAAAAAATTATGAAAGCCTCAAATGGATCTGGAAGCAGAAGATTATACATTTCAAAAGAACAATAAAGAAGATCTTGTTACATATTGATATAAATGACGAGAGGAATAAGAACAACAGAATACTTTATGAGGAGAAACAGATGATTAAAACAATTCATCTTCTGATAAAGTCTTTCAAATACATTTTTTAGTCCCACAGACTTCTTACTTCTCCCTTCTAGCATTATCTTTGATCAAAACTAGAGATATTAAAGATTAAATTTGGGAATATCAAACTCAACTATTGAACTCTGTTTTGTAGCTTTACCACAAGGAGTCCGTAATTAGAGCTTTAAAAAGTCACGTTATCAAAATTAAAATCTATTTTCTCCAAAGTTTCAGAAAATTATTCCATTAAATTATACATCGTTTCAAATGCCAGTTAGTTGAAACAATTTACTAAAATATATATAACATACCTTTTGAATATATGTGACATACCTTGTATTTTCAATTGAACTGCTTAAAAAAAACCCCTCACCCCAAACTACCAAGCAAGGAAATAGAGTATTTTTATACGCTTATTGATACACCCCATCACAAATCCAGCTACCACTAAAGTTCTCCTTCTTTTTTTATTCAATTAATGTTAGATTATTTTTCCCTAGAGGCTTGCATCAAATTATATTTACATATCTGTAATCACTCTCTGCATAAGTCAATCATACTATAAAATTGTTTTTTTATTATAGTTCTTAAATATTTTAGATTAGGAAAAGTGTTTCAAACCAGTAGGCGTTTTAATAAAACAAACAAGACAGACAAACAGCGGATTTTGTAAACTGTTGAATGAACTCATATATCCACTTTAATAAAGACAGTTTTTCACAGCACCAATCCTTTTCTGTGAGGAAAGCAGCTTTTTTTTTTTTTCTCAGTTCTATCTGTTTACCATACAATTAAAACTCCGTTTTATATAAATGACATATTATTGGCAGTTTATGGCAATAGGCAATATTGCATTGTTCTTCTAAAATATTCAAAGAAAAGGTTGCACAAATTATCACCAAATAGAAAGATGCTTACATACCTCTTTTTGAAAAGATTAATTTCCTGTTCTTCTCTTGATAACCACTGCACATACAGATTAAATTACCTATGATGTTTTAAGCTAATCAGGTACCTCAGTAGAGCTCTGTTTCTGCTCTTGAAGTACTTGATCATAATCTGGTTTGGATTTTCCAAATGATCCTCCTATTTGTTAAAGCAATGAATGACTTTCTGCAAAGGCAATTTTTCAAAGCTCTGCAGTAGTTAAATAATTTAATGAAGAACAGGATCACTCACATTAGCAGCTATTTCACAAGTACCAGTTATCTGAACCTGAGAAACACTTTAATGGCACTTCCCAATTTCTGATAAATTGGCAGCTATTATGCAGGAGACCACAGGCTACTGACATACTGCTTTTTAGGCAACTCCAATGCATAAGAACACACATGATGGACGTCACCAGCAGCTTCTTTTATGTTTGTCAGTAATTAACACCACAATGGAAAAAAAGAAACCTAATAAATCTGTGCTATGTTGGGTGGGATTTATTTCATTCAAAGTAGAGGAAGTCTAGGTTAAGCTACATAACCTACGGTGCAAATTATCAAGTACATTGATGAAAAGATTCGAGTTCAATGAATCTTGAGAATTTTAAGGTACAATACTTAAGAATGTAAATCAACAATGACAAATGGCTAAGAAAATATGTCTAGGCAAAGTAACAATACTTTGTTTATTTGGACATTTTGGTTTAAATGAGCAGGTCACCTGCTGCTTCCCCCCCCGTCTTACCCTTCCCATAACAATGCAAAGATATAAATTCAGATCACTGGTTACTGTGGCTGATATATAGTTAAGTCACAGATGTGATACTACATAAAACAAAAGAATGATTGATATTGCGACAAACTAGAGACACTGCATCGCAGTGCAAAATTTCTCTGGAAAGAATTCAGAAAGCAGACAGAAACCACTTTTACATAGGTTCCTCTAGGATAAGGCGATTTAAATACAGCCAAATGGATAGCAGTAATTATTGCCTGGCTGGTGAGTTGTGAGCCAGAGTCCAGCCACCACTCTGCTTTACATAATGTAGCAATCAATCACCATAGCCTGGATGACTGGAGTAGTCTAGAATTTCACTTATCACTGCCTGACCCTCCCTATTATTGTATGCATAGTAAGTACCACATTTCAAGGATAGTAAGTTGCATAAAATTAAGTATATTACTGATGTAATACCAAATCTATAGGAAAGAATCTAGAAAATTAGATCAACAATGCATGGCACTGTAAATAAGGTAAACTCAAGGTTTGGACTTGAAATAAATATGACACAACCCTTCCACTCCCTCCTCCTAAGCTTTGGTGAAGACAGTCTACGATACTGTACCCTCTTCTGAGCACAGCTCATAGAGAAGGATGTGAATCAACTACAGGAATGCAAGAGGAACCAGCAAGGTCTAGAAAGTATGTCCTGCAAGGAAAGAATGAACAAACTGGAATTGCTTAGGTTCAAAAACAATGGAGTAAGATGATGAGTGGAAGCACATAAAATTCTCCAAAGATATAAAAGGCTGATGAATTGAAAATGGGAAAAATCTTGTTTTCTATATAAGACCAAGGATTAAAGGCTTAAGCTGGAGCACGAAGACTCAGAAAGACTATGAGAAAAAAAAAAAAAATCTTAAGGAGAGTGAGGCACCGAAACATCTCAGCCCTGGGAAACTTGGAGTTCACCACTGAAGGCATCTTGAAGGGTCTTTGAAAGCAGGTAAACAGCAGTAGTATTAGCCTTTGATCTTCCTTCCAACCTTATCATTCCATGACTGTATAAAACGAGCTATATTGTAGTGAATTAGAATTTTCAGACTGAATCTAATCAATTTTATTTAAGGTTATGCTTCCATCACACTACAAAACAAAACTTTGATGGTATTTTCCCACTTGATTCCTCTTCTGGAAATTGAGAGCAAATACTTTTTATTTTAACAATTGATTAAGAGTCTTCATAAAATCTCACCTTACCTCAATTCAGTGTAATGGCTATTTATTCCATTCTTTAAAGCTCTTTTTAAAGAAAAGTAATTGATAACAATTTATTACAGAAAAATCATACGTTTCTGTACCTTCTGATTTCATGACTGTACCAAGCTTTTTTACTATATGGGTAAATGTATAAAATATATGATACAAACATAAAGCATGAACTGCATTAACAGTTTTAAGACAAAATCCTGACAGAATTTTGCCTAAACAACAAACTCAAAAACTGACTGTATAGAAACAATAACGTTTCACCTTTTCCAGTGGTTTTAATTTAAAATTCTTTCTCAGGAAAAATGCTGAGGCTTACTGTAACAACAGTAGTACAGCAAGCAACATACACTGTGCTTTTATGAGATTTACCTCCAAGGAAAATATAACTTTGCAAAAAGTCTGAAAAAAACTTCATTAGGAGTTTGACATTGCTCAGAGAGGATTTGACATGGTTCAGCCCCAGCAGGCAGCTGAGCACCACCCAGCCACTCGCTCACCCCTCCCCGGCAGGATGGGGAGGAGAACAGGAAAGACAAAACCAAAACAGTTTACTGGGACAGCAAAGTAGAGGGAAACAACAACAACAGTATTGAAAACAGAATATAGACAACAGGTGATAACACAAGGGAATTTACTGACCCGCTGACCACTCAGCCCACACTCAGCCTGACCCAGAGCCGTGCGGAGCCACCCCTCCCTGTCAGCCCCCTTTTATGGGAGCATGACATCCCATGGTATGGAATAGCCCCCTGGCCAGCTTGGCTCGCCTGTCCTGCCTCCTTGTGAAAATTAACTCTATCCTAGCCAAAACCAGGACAGGCTTGGACCTTTATTTGCCCCCCCCACTCCCCTTTTTAGTATTGAAAGCTGTCTGGAAATCATAACAAAATTGAATTTAAACCCAGCTAAAACAGATCAAACATACAGACACATCATCCTCTTTTCCAAATATATGTATCTAGTAATACAACAGTGTTCCCACAGCTTAGAAAAGATTGACAGTCATTTTTAAACTAAAACTATACTACGCTAAGTGTTTCCGAGTTCATCTAACTTTTATTATACTAAACTCTTAAAGGCTGAACTTAAACATGAAATTTAAGTGTCTTTCAAGAACAGTTGTGGGGTTTATTTTCTTATATGCTTAGTATCATCTAAAAGAGTTCAAGTGCAATATATTAGCACAACTTATTTTGAAATGTGTTCCAAGAGCAACTAGGAAGAAGAGTATGAAAATGTATAATTTATATTGACTTTCTATCTGAATAATGGAGCTCTGTAGCACACTTTCAGTTCGATCAGTACAAATTTAAACATGAATGAAACATTTAGTCTTTGGGAAGTCAGTAATGTAACAGTACACATGCCAGAACAGCAAAAAAGCAAACTAGATGAAAACAAGAGACATGGGAAGGGAAGAAACTCTGAAGGAGAAAAACACAACACTTAGAATCATCAAGAAATGAAGAGAACATAAGCAGAAATAAGGAAAAACAGAGGAAACTAAGAGAAAGGCATTGAAAGAGACATTGAAAGAAAAATGAAAAAGAAAAGAGCTTCTCAGTTCAGGAATTTATTTCTATATACTTACTATGCCATAACTCATTATATTTCTCTGGTAATTCTTTAGATTCCTCTGACAAACACACTATTTGATTCTGATATGCCATCAAAAAAAAAAAAAAAAAAATCACATACATTCCTGCATTTTCAGCATTCACATTCCCATTAGATTTCTGATGGACACTCAAGTAAATGTTTTTTACAATATTTTGAAAAAGTGCCGCATACTAACTTTACATGTGTGTACTAGTGTAGTGTTGGTATACGGGAAAGTGCTATTTCAGATAGCAAAAAAATGTAGCTAAGGGCAAGATAATAATTTTCCTCTGAGTAATTTTTTTCTCCCAGAAAAAGGATTATTAGTTACTGCTCTAATATAATACACATCTAGTCCTGGTTCAAGGCATTTTAAATCACTATGGCTATTCTAAGAATTGCTCTATACCAAGTGGTATTATTGAAGAAGTAGTTTGGCACTTGGGGGACTGTTTTTCTTTGCAAGATCACTTTGAACTCTACTTGTAATAGCATTATATGAAAACTTTTTTCTTTATTTTATGTTCATTTCACGTCTCATGCACAGAGACATAAATGGTATGGACATTTTGAGGCTAACAGATTCACAAATGAGACCAAAATTGTGCTCACTTTAGTAGAATGCTGGTCACACAGACAACAACTAAAGTATCAGAGGATCTGTCCTTCGGAGTATTTATCATGCCTTTTAAATGAAATAAACTGAAAGGGGCCAAGATTATTAGTGACTATAAAAGCATATGTCATACTTAATACGGAATAATTTTGTTGCAGCTTTGATGGCATTAGGATAGTATCTTTACGGTTTGTAAAGAAAGTTTTCATTTTTCTTTATACCAGCTGACATCACTGGTCTCAGATCATTTATTTAATACTATATTCTTTGAGAAAATCTGTAAAAATCAATTTTGACTTCAGATTCTCCCCAACATCAGTAATCATTAAGCAGAAATATCTCATGGGCTTAAGAAATCCTGAGAAGCTGTAGCCTCCTTACTTTTCAGCACAAGTGTGTATATTTCACTTTGGGTTTTTTTTCCCTTAGCTTCCAAACACTAGTCATTTCTATTTGCTTTAATTTAAAGTTTGTTTCAAGCTTTCCTCCACCAAATTACTAATGCTATCTTAAATATTTTTAATCCTTTCATTTCTGTAAGCCAGTAAGAACGCACTTTTTTAATTATTGGAAGTGTCCATAATAAAACAAATTAGATTGATCAAAACTCAGTAAGACTAAAGCAGTGTCATAAAATAGTAATTTTAACAGCAATAAAGTTCAGATATACAGAACCACAGAAATATGTCCGTGAAGCATGATTTGCAAGTCTACTATCAGTCTAGCTCAGTAACATCTGAACAACATCCACTCCTGATCTCACACTGCAGTAGTAAGTAGTTACATATGATAGTAACAATTATGGAGACACCAAGACTCCATTTGGAGATCATTCTGGAAATTATAACAACAGTTATTCCAGCCTGAAAAATTCAACCACATTCTTAATGAACTTAAAAAAAAAAAAACAGCTCAAAGGCAAGACGTGTAATTTAAGAGACCAGGCACGACATAAAACTAAATTTTAATTATTCATTATTTTGGCAAAGAGAAACATTATTGTTATTGACATGCAATAGATATTTTGGCCATAAGTAAATTATGGGCTTCATTACTACTGTAACAAAGTTCTAAAACGTTTTGTAAATTAGCTCAAACATTATCAAAGCAGAAGGATTAAAATTTGCTTTTGCTGAAATCTGGACCATTAAGTTGGCTGCTAACTACTAAATTATTTCAGGTGACTAGCAATAGGAAACTCAGGCTTTTATTTCTAGCTTACTGATTCAGCATTATTTCATGTGATTCATCTGAGGAAATGCTGAGTATCTGGAATAAATAAAAAAATCTATTAAGCATGATATCTATTGAATTATGAAATAGCCAAATAAATGTTCATAAAAGAATAAAAAAAAGTTCATAAAGAATAAAAATATCAAAGAATCCTAAACTGAAATTTTAAAAATCTAGACAGCAAAATCAATGCTATTTTTATCTCCCTACAGCAGAATTAAAGATGTGATCACAGATTATATTGCACATACATGTTTGTATTTCACACAGTATTGACACTACACTTGAAACATAGTTTCTAAATCATGCTTCAGTACATATCGATAGTGAACAATGAGGGGAATGCAAATGCAAATGCATCGCCCTTTCCTGTTTTGGCTTATGTTGGTTTTCTTCTTGATTAGTGCACTGAACAGGCTTACTGATGTCAAAAAACCAAGTACCAGAATGTCGTAGGTAAAAAAATAGCTTAAACTGTGAACACTAGCAGGCAGCAGATAATTGACTCGATGTGTGTGCATGCACATTCAAAATTAAACTTCTGAACCCTCAAGTAATACTGATCAATATCATGATGTCACACATTGATCCATTTCTTCCAAATACACAGTAAATCTCCCATATTCCATATATATACACACACACTTATGTGTATATATCCTCTACATATTAAATATACATTAAAACCTGTATAAAACTTCAAACAACTTGGAAATTATTTGGTATTAGCATTCTTAGAAAGTCTTATAAGCAGTAAACTAATATTGCAATGCCCCTTCATCCTGCATCAAGAATAGGAACAGCTTTAATGAGTTCTATTGCTATCAGCCCCACATTTGGATAATCCAAGTCTATATTGCATATTAAAAAAAGGGCTATAACTTTTCACTAACAGCTATTAACATCCAGAATATTAAAAATACACTGATTTTCAACTTACCAGTACTAACACAATTTTCGCCATCCTTACTGAGCTTCCAACCTTCGTAACATGAACACTTGACAGTATTTTTATGCTGTTCACATACTTGACTACACTTCAGGTGCTTGGTACAGTAATCCATAATCTCACAAGTTTTGTTGTCTAGACTAAGACTGAATCCTGCAGGGCAGGAGCATACAATTCTTCCTCCAGGAACCACAGAACATTGATGGCTACATCCACCGTTGTTAAGTGAACATTCGTCTGAAATAACATGGAAAAAAAAAAAAATTAGTGGCTGCAAGGCTGTCAGTTATATTGAATATTCTTAAACTTACCAGGTCAACAAACACACATAAAAGGCCCTTAAGAACTGCAAATTGAATCTGACGTTTGTTAAACAGCTTTCTATATTTATTTTTAAAATTATCTAATTTGTAAGTGTTCAGCATGGCAGCTTTATGGCAGTCTTTTAGAATGGCAGATGTACAATGTATATACATTTTTACAAACTGTCATGAATATTATTTCATTCACTTAAGAATTAAAGAGTGTCCATACAGAGTCATTCCAAAGACCATTCTAGGTCAACCACCTTCAGCAGTGACCAAAAGCTAATGCACAGAGAAATAAGCATACTTTCCCAAATACTTCCCTTGCCTCCAGCCACTTGAGCTTGTGGGGAGAAAGCTCCAGCTCTTAGTCCTATGTATCTATATCCCAAGCAACTAGTCAAAGAAACATGAACAAAAAAAAAAAAATCTTGATTTTTAAATCCTCCTTTTCCAATAACAGCTACTAGAGAAAACTACTTCTGCATTCTCTGTGCCAGTGCTCTCACATTATACTCTGCAGGTAACTGATGATTTGCAAAGCTCTGCTAAATGGATTGAAGTTGATTTGTGAAACCTTTAAAGCGTCTGAATTAAAAGCATGATAATTGCATCTGTGAGAAATGGCGTGCCCTCTGGAGCAAAAAAGCATGGAATTGCTCCTTACCTCATAGTATTACTGATAGTACTACTTTTTTGTGGTGGTTTTTTTTGTTTTTTTTTTGTTTTTTTTTTTTAGAATTACTCCTTACCTCATAGTACTACTGATAGTACTACTTTTTTGTGGTGTTTTGTTGGTTTTTTTTTTTTTTTAATCACAACAAAAAAGATCAAGCTCCTTAATGCATCTAACATACAAATGTGTTGCCCAACGTCCCATATTTGTCCTTCAGTTTAGGCTTAGGTATGTTTTAAAACTAAATTATTAACAACTACTGAAATACTTGTTGACTAATAACACATCATCTAAAAGTTGTAACAACAGTTAAAAACCAAGCTTGGCCCTATACAGTATCTACCAGGATACAGGGGTCATAATGGGCTTCTACTAGTAGGAACGTAACTGCCCAAACACAGAAATAGCATAGAAATAATATAAATCACCTTACGCTATAATTTCTTTCACCTGGAGCCTGAACAGCATGGAATCCATAGGTAGCTCTCAGAGGATTTAGGCCTACAACGTAATCTTTAACATGTTCCAGAACACTGAATTTAAGATCCCGTCTTGCAGTACAGCCTGCAGACCAAGAGAGCAGGCCAGCACAAAGATCTCTTTGCCATCTCCTGCAGCAGCTGTTGCCAGCAGGGAACTCTGCCGCCTACGCTAAAGCACAGCCCAGCACAGTCTCCTAGTAAAGATAGATCCTAGAGGGTGAAAACGCATGTAAACATCTCCACACGTGCTGTAACAGAACGCTGGAGATTGTAAAAATTATATGCAAAGCAAGGTCAGTGGGGAGAGGCAAATGTTTGATATAATAAAAAAGAATTATAAAATTACTTAAATTTTTTCCTACAAGCCATGTTTCACTTCTTATCCCTAAACCATCACCATAGTACAATGCTACTACTATAGTATTGTCAGTTCTTTTAAAATCTATTCATTTTATCTTTGCATATATTTCACCATAATTCAGTTAGGTTATCTGTTATACTTCTATCAGATTTATAAAATTATTTTGGTACATCTTTTACTGAATACAGTTTTGCTGAGACAACCTACATTGCCTGACATGCCATGAAATCCTTGCAACGCCGTCATCAGGGAGACATGTTATCTCCTCCTAGTCATCCCAATGCATTCCTTCATGAACTCCTACATGGCTACTGACAGGATTCTATCAAGTCAAGCCTTTGTAGTTGGAGAGAACTGCAAATTAGCTTAAATCCTTTCACACATAACAGAGCCTTTTAAGTTGTTTACCTCCAGAAGTATTTTAAGGGGTTAGGAAATGAAAGACTTAACTAAGGAACTATGTTTTCCCTTATCTGAAGAAAACTACTACTTCAAGCACAAAACTAGTACGATTTAAATTAAATAAAATCCTCACATAGGCTACTATGATTAAATTTCAGTAAGATTAACATGAGAATTGTTTTTTCAGCAGTAAGGATTGTGACAGACAATAATCAGGAAAACGTGTCTGGAAGAAGTACCACAAAGATCGCCTTCATCAGATCCATCAGGACAATCTCTTCTCCCATTGCAGAGCTTCTCAGGCTGTAGGCAGATGGAGGTATCATTAGCACAAGGGTATTTTGGTGGTCCACACATATAACCCTCGCAATTATCCTCATCAGACTGATCCTCACAATCAATATCGCCATCACATAGCCACGCTTTGCTAATGCATCTCCCTTGGAGAAAAGAGACAATAAACACAGGAAATCAGACTGGCAGCAAACTTTAGAAAAAACCTTCAGTAACATTACACAGATTTTATTTTTTTTTTAATTATGCTTTTCTATTAATAGTACTTTCCACTTAGATGAGCAGAAAGAAACCAACTTGTATTTATAATCTGAAGCATCATCCACATCAGTGTTGACAGACTAATTTTCCAAACAACATCAATCCTAATTATAACAGAACTGCATGCAGGCCGGGCACATCCTCATAATCTGGTAAATATACCAAATTATACAATTTTTAAATTTTTTTTTTAAATTTCTGATTTTCTTCATCTCTCTTCCTTTATCTTCTACTGTAATAGCAATGTTTCAATATATGACTTTCTGTTAACATGGGTTTGAGATACAAAAATCTTTCTAGGAAGTATACACGATGCATTCCCAGATTATGACAGACAAATGATCAGCTTTTAGACAAAGCAACTACAGCAGATGAAATTTCTTACATGATTTCAGTTTTAGCAAATCAGGCTTCAGATAGTTTCCTCCACTCCTCAAAAGGGGGAGAAAAAAATTCCCCTTTTGTGCAGAGCATCAAAGTTTACAGATGCAAGACAGTCTTCTGATTGAGAAAGGGGTTATGATTTTTAAAAAATATACAGGTATTACATTAGAATCAGCCAAACCAGGGATTTTAATAGGTGGAAAATAACCAAGGTTATGAATGCTACCACTTATGGGTGTGCATGTGTGCGTGCTGCTGTCCCAAACTATTCTTCAACTCTCAAGCATAAACTTGTGACTATCTAGCTACGACCACTGGGGCTAGTTGTAAATGTTGATAACACCTGGACTGAACAGAACGGGCATGTACTTCATTCTCCAATTAACAGAGACACAACATCTCTGATGAGTCACCATCCCTGGAGGTATTTAAAAAACATGTAGATGTGTGCTTAGGGACATGGTTTAGTGGTGGGCTTGGCAGTGTTAGGTTTATGGTTGGACTTGATGGTCTTAAAGGTCTTTTGCAACCTAAATGATTCTATGAACCATGGGTGAGGAAGCTGATCTTGCACTGTGTTTCTGCCTATAAACTATTTAGGTAGAGAAAATCAGGCTGGAATGGGGAGGAAGATACTGGAAATGTGTGGATCTTTTGACAGCAATGCTAGTGGATGCCCAGGGACTGAGACTGTCTGAGACTGGTAACTGCAAACTGTCGGGCAGCGTAAACTGGCACGACTGACTTTCTGCCCAACCTTGTCAGTTTAGCAGCAATCTTCCCAATAGGAAATTGAGACCTCTTACGACACTGTGCGGGAAGCAAGCGAGCGAGTGTGTGAAATAATCAACTAGGGTAAAACGCTAAAGAACATCTTGGTTCTTTAATACACGTCAGTGCCAAATTCACTACAGGCTGTTTTTACTCTGTATCTCCCATGACACAGTTCAATATAAAACCACCTCACGACATTCTGTACAATTGTCCACACAATGTAGCAACTGTCCCAAACTGTAACTCTGCTGTCTGCCATAATACAGTAGTAGATTTCAGTTTCCTTTAAAGGAAATATTTGCTTAAGATTAGTGTAATGCTTTTCGTTTGATCTTTTAGTCTTCTTCAAGGGTGTTGTTGTCTTCACAGAATGACAATGGGATAAACCACAGTGAAACAAGAATGATGAAAAAAATATGATTTGTATAATTTCACAAGGCAGATGTGAGATTGCTTTCACTTTTGTTGAAGAAAAGCAAGAAGTGAAACTTCAGGATCATACTACAGCGAGTGTGGTTTCAAACAACAGAACGTAATTTTTTCAGGGCAAAAATCACCTGGAAAACTTAAACAGGGAGTGGTGTCAATTAGAATGAAAAGCTTTAACTGTTTTCTATAATGGTCAAAGTCCAAATATCCTACACTGGAAAGACAGAATTTCATAGACACAAGAAAACAAAGTTGTATGCACAATACGTATGCAGTTTATCTTTACATGCAATTACAAGTGTTTCAAAGTGTCCATACTCATTATTATCTTGAAATGATCATTGATTTTATATATTATAACACAGCAGTAGACTGAAAGCTAACAAAAACCACCAATGCCAAGCAAACTAACCAGATCCCAGATTAAATTGACACTGCCTCCAGTAGAGCTCCTATTCTGGCTTTTATTCTTACATACAAATGTTTACAGAGGACATCGGTTTTCCTGCCTTTCTCTTACCTTAATGAAGATATACTTTATAATAAAAGATTCATCTTCCACTACGATAGCTATGAAATGTTCTTAAGTAGAATATACTTACAAGGAATTAATCTTTGCCAAAATTCTAAAGAGATGGACTTCAAGAAGTATTATGAATGTCTTGAAATCATTACTTAAAATTCACTGAAGTATTTTTGCTTTATTGCCGCTTAATGAAATTCACATTTTTGGTTTCCAGGAACCTTTTCAGTAAAATTCTATCACAAATTAATTGCCTCAATGGATATATCTGTTCTTTTCCATAGCTCTTTCGTGTAACATGGAAGAAATATGTGTAAAGTAGTGAATCAGAAGTTCTGAAGCAACAAGTATGTGGGAAAGCCAGATCCAAATGCTTCTCCAACATTTTTTATTTCCTACAATACTAGCAAGTGCAACAGAATTAACTTTTTAGATACTGTTCAGTCCTTGTTGGGATACCGAGCACAGGAATTTTTCAACTGATTCTATATTCAACTGTAGGGAAGCTACTTTGGCAGAACATTAATTGCATTCAGTTTCCTCTTACAGTTACTTCTTACTACCTAAAGCTGTAATGCCTTCCTAATCTATAGAATGGACTCAATCTCATTCCTATCAAAATGAAAAAATGTTCTAATCTGACATATTTAACAAAATAATGATCTCACTTGTCCTGTAGAACAAACCTGAGCCTTAGACTGAACTACTTTGTTCCAAGAACATGGTAACTTCTGGTATTTAAAAGCTTTTAATAGAAAGCAGACATTTATAAATGTCTCCTGGATGAGACAGAAGTAAAAATTTCAGGGCCTAAAGATGACAGTTGTTACTACAGAAAACAATGATAACATGAACTGAGGATAAAGATGGTACTGGAATAACATACATAATTTTCTAGTTTACTTGCTGAGGTGATTTTATTTAAATTTTTAATGTCAATAAAAATGACATTAAATGTCAGCTCTACCAATTTCCTCATCATCATCTATTTTGAAAATCTCTTTCTTCCCAGCCTTCCTCAGTATCAACTCCTCTCCATTCGTCTCTATTTGGGAGACCTCACATACCTGTAACTTGACTTCCACTCCCCATTCAGACAGTACTATTCCTCTTCCAGGATCACTGCGATGACCACCCCTTGACCTTATTTCCTCTCTATGAACGTTCCTTATAGAAATCCTACTTCTTCCCTCATCTTTTTTTTTTCTTCCCTCTAGTGTATTATTAACACGTGAGAAAAAAGAAGTACAAAATAATAGCCCACAGGGTAGCATGAGAATGGTGCGACACAAAATTAACCGCTTCTTGAAAGAAATATAAAAAGCAGTAAGTATGACAAATATGCAATACAGTTCAGATCTACTGCTTACTAAACTGAAGTATTCACGGCTCTTTTGCATTTGTCTTCACAGAAGTACTTGATTATAACCATTAGAGTACTTAGATTACTTTTTAAGTGAGATTGCACAGATTCTGCCCTTGGTCCAGTACTACTAACTGCAAAGTAGGAAGATGGAATAGAAAGGATAGATATATATGTAGAACATAAAACTGAGCTGAAGTACATGCCTGTAATAATTTTTGGAGGACAGCATCAGAATTAAAAACAGGAAGTTGGATCTTAGTCTAATCTAATTTAGTCTAGTTTAATTTAAAATAAATCTAATCTAATTTAAAAGCAGAAAATAACTGGCTAGAAGCAGCTCAACAGTAGTCGATCAGGCAGTTACTGCATCTCATATCCTACTGCCATGCAAATTCTAATATATTTTTCATCACCCATCATCACAAACAACCGTGTGATATTCTTGAAAAAATCAGAAACGTCATTCTGAAATCTGTTAACTCAAGTGCCCTGCAGCATTTTGGCTGACTTCAGATACTGCAGCCCAAGAACTGCACAGGTTGGACAGTTTCAGTGAGGCCAACAAAAATGCTAAAGGTTTAAAAACATAAAATAAAAATAGAAGACATTCAAGGGGAAAACAACCCCAATGTATTTGTTTATTCAACAAAAAATGTGGTTAAGAAGACATGATAGAAGTCTTTCAATATTCAAAAGATTTTTATACTCGTGAAAAGATGAAGACAATCAACAAAGCTTGCAGCAAAGATTCAGATGACTTATTAGGAAAAAATGTTCAAGTATTAGAGGCAAATTACTAAAAGGCTATCTATATAAATTATAGAATACCCTCTATTGGGTATTCTTAAGTGCATGACGAAAAGGGGCTGGATACAATGGTTCTTGATACCACCATTACTCTAAGCAGAAAAATCATGTTTGGCTGAAGGCTGACACACGCCGTAGTTCTAACATGACATTCACGCCTGTGGCATTGTGACAGATTAACTAGAGCCAAGAAAAACTACAGTAAGGAAAGACCCTGGAGCTACTATTTACAGCAATAGAACAAAAAAAAAAGAAGTAAGCAAAAAAGTAGGCAGTAACATTTCACCATTACTGTTCTCACAAACTGTCATTTCCCTCAAAATGTATTAGCTGTCTCACATCCCCCATACACGTTTTCCTACCCAGACCCATCATGTACTATAGCACCACCTAGCAATCTGTAAGGGAATAATTAGACAATTCCTCCTCATCTGAAAAATCCTCATAAATGCAGAAGCCAGGCAGTATTATTTCCTCAGAATAATCAACAGAGAAAGTGATGTTTATTCTGAAACCTGAAAGGATGATGACAGAAATTATTTCTCATAAAACCATTGTTACTCATTTGTCCAACCATATGGAATTAAATGGAAAAGTAGCTAAACAAAAATTTGCTTTTGCTGTTTTCTATTCCAATGGATTACCAACATGCCTCCTCCAGAACAGCAGTTTTGCGCCTTCCAAGACTAATAGAAAGAAAATAGTAAAAGAAAAAAAAAAATATAGATGAAACTGTCGCAACTGATTCCTAAAGTGATGTTTCCACACAACCAACAAGCATGATTGCATTTTCCACTAAATCAAAGCCATATAGCCTTGAATTTAGCAAATGTCTGATGAAAATAATTTTTTCGCTGTATTTATATGTGGCAGCTAGAGAAGTCACATTTCATCCTTCACCCTGCAACCTGACTGAGATATTGCCCTCCTTGCGCACCACTGTAAACATAAGTAAGCGTATAACGAGGCAGCGTATTTTAAGACCTTTTCCCCATTTAAGCACAAGGAAAAAGTACCAGGAAGAAGTGTATTTCCTGTGTCAGGGTTTCTACCTATTTCAGGGAACAGACCATTCTATTAAAAGTGAAGAATTCCTTTTTACTTATTGAAGCTATTTCATTTAACAGGTACTTGTTCTATATGTCTTTAAGGAAACTGTAAGAACACAAAAGAAAATGTTTTGTTCAGATAAAATTCAGTATTTCATATTTATTTATCTGGATATTATGATTCCTATAACTTTAAAATCCTAGTCAGAACAAACCTCTAAGCATTTCAAAAGCATCCCAAAGTAGTTCATGTATTAAAAATGAACTCTCTGTTCACACTGTAAATTTGAATAAAGTATTGTACTGTATCTATACACATTCACAAATACTTTTGGATAGAGCTCACATAACTAGACTGCAACATTTATCATGCTTAGCTATAACACAGGCAATAAAATGGGTTCTCTTTTCCTGTAATAATTATAGTTGCTTAATAGCAACAATATTACTTATTATACCCTGAACTAAATTTTGCTTTTAAAAGTTATTTTACCCCCAATATTTCATTAAGCTTTGAAAGAAATTGTAAAAAGATCAATACAATGCTGACATATATTAATTTCTTCCTTAACTGAAACTTCCCTTAAGAAAATATTCCATCTAAGCATTATTTTGCAAAATATCGCGATGTAACAACTACCATATTCTTTTCACTTTTTAAAATAAACACTCTCAAACAATGTGTTTTTCTTCCAATATTGTGGTTCAAATTTCCAGTGCTGTAGTTCTAATTGTTTGAAGTCTTCTAGCTAATTACTTTATACTATTTCAATCAACTTCTAGGGCCAAATATGGAAAATAGAATAAAATACCTGGCCTTTGAAGTGCTATTAAATGCTACATTTAAGTATTTGATGTACTATCATACAGAACAGTTTGAGCTTTAAGTAATCTCAAAACCCATCCATTTTATATAGTAAGTCAGAAAACAGGTTAAGGGAAGTATATCAATATTCTTTTCCTGGTATGACTGCAATAAGTAACATCACCGCAGTAGTATTAAACATTAAAACCAGTATTCAAATAGTAGATATGTGATCAAATCACACAGACACATACACACAATGAGTAAATGAGAGCAAAACATATCTGCAATCATATACCTGTACTCTTGCAGGAGAACTTTGTTTTTTCATCACATAGTCGTATAGTTCCATTACAGCCTTTTTCATCGCTACCATCTTCACAGTCCTTTTCTCCATCACAGCGCCACAACTCAGGAACACAGTTCCCATCAGGACTGCACTGAAATTCCTTCCCATTGCATCTTCCAGGAGAGGGAGTTTCTTAGAAAAATAAGAATTACATTGAAGAACTTGCTCACGTGAGTTTTTTCCATGCCAACTCTACAATGACATACAATCCCCCTTCCTAACCAAAGTCAAAATCACAATCTGCAGGTGTAACACTCAAAACTCACTATTCCTTCTGAACTCATCACTCCAACACAAGCTTCAGACAAGCTCTTTCTTATCCTGCTCACTCCCTTCACCATAGGCTCAAGGTAAATACCTTTTTTTTTTTTTGCGCACAGCTGTCATAAAAGAATGAACTTGGAGATGGAAGGAGGACCAAGGCTGATGAAGTTTTCCTGGTGCTTCGTTAAGCCCTGACTCTCACCCTCAAGCTACATTCCATCCTCCTCCTTCAGTCTCCTCTTTGCTCCAACATGGTCCATCTCCTAGTTCACAACACATGAAAGGTCACAGCTCTGCTTTGACACAAGAGACAGGCCCTGACACAGGCCCTTTGACACAGGCCCTGACACCTGCCTGACATGTGCCATTGCAGCACTGGCAGAGTAGTTGTAGCCTTCCTGAATTCCACAGCAATGAACTTCAGTTCAGTGCAGCTATGGAATCAGTCCTGAATGTTTCAAAACATAGTAACTATGTGATTTTAATTATTCATCACATACTTAATTCTTTAAGTGTTTTCTAGATGATGGCCTTTTCAATTTCATCCATGCCCTCCTTTTCTAAACTATTACCACTGTGAGTTTTTCTAGTATTTCATAACATACTAACACCAATAACATGTACTTGAAACTACTGATAAAGTTTACATTCCTGTTTGTACCAAAAAGCATTAATTGAATAAATTCTTATAGTAGTCTATAAATATATGGCTTATTTTATTAAAATTTACCTCCCCCCCTCCCCAGCCGCCCAAATAATCTGCATTCTTGCATTCAATAGTTAGTAAAGCAAAGACAAATTGCTGGACAAGTGTACATCACATCGCAGAGCGGGACACAGAAGATGTATGAACTAACAATAACTGTGTAAACCAGTGCTATTTCAGAGACAGTGGCGCAAATCTCAGCATAATATGGTATTGTATAAAAAGGTAGAGCAGGACTTTAAGTTCTGAGATGGCCATGAACAGGGAGGAAAGTGAGTAGTTTAGTTCCAGACCAGTTATTTTGATACAGATTAAATAATAAATTATGTAAATTTATAAAAATTAAGGACTTTACGCTACTCTTGCACCGCATTCTGCTAATTCATCTATTTGTATGAAATCTGCAACAAGATTTAGAATATAAACTCATGAAGAAAGACCAATAAAATCATGTATAATTACTTTATTGTGGAAAAATCACTGAGGAAAATACGAGAGAAAAATATTCCCTCATTCTTATCTGATTATTCTTTATCCTTTGCTACAAGCATCCTCCCCTTCTCTCCCCATCCAAATAAATACAACGTATGGCATTTAAATGGGATTGTAGTTGGTTAAAATATTTTCATGCTTCAGTAACACTATTGAAAAAAAACCCCAAAACCAAAAAAAACTTGGATCACAAAAAAATGAGTGTTACTGCATAAAACCCCCCAGAAAATACAAATAGTAACATAAGGATTGCTGCTTACTACCTTTTTATCTAGGCAGCATGCATCTCTGTAAAAGGACAATATTCACATTGAACATAATTCATTAAACTACAAAACTTATCTCAGTATAATACCCATTCTGTTTTCAAATGCATTCTTCTTCTATGATAAATTTCTGTATTATCAAATTACACTTGACATATTTTCCATTCCAAACTTTACCAAGGTTAAAAGGATTTTCTCTTCTCCCATTGACTGAAGAAGGGTTGCCTGTGTTTATAATATTTTCTATGGTTGTAAGTATTAAAATGTGGGAAGAGAAAAAAAAAAAAGCTAACCTTCCTTGCTGCAATTTGTTTTGGTTTCATCACTGAAATCTCCACAGTCATTGTCACCGTCACATGCCCAATGATTTGGGATACATCTACCATTATAACATCTGAACTGATCAGTAGAACATGAGTGAACACAGCCTAGTTCATCGCTTCCATCACCACAGTCGTCATCTGCAAATATTAGGGTTTTTTTATTATTTTAAAAGATAAAAAATATGAATAGAACATGTGAGGAGAAAAATATATTTCCTATAAGGCAAGAGAAAAATAATGTGCAGTGAATGAAATAGTACGTTTACTGCCCACAGGCGTATGGTACAATTATTTCTAATGCAAGTAATTCCTTAACTCTAGTTTACCAACAGCACATGACCCTTTACACTTATTCACAGTTATTCAATCACAGACGCCAGCGAGCATGAGAAGGCTGTAGATTTTCTTCATTTCTTCAGTCATATGTAACTACAAGGGCTTCCAAACACAGTGGTTTTACTTTATTTTCAGTGACTTGTTAAGTTAACTTAGTTAAGTACACACACAAAACGCTTCATATAAACCAAAATGAAAACCTGATGCCTGAATTTCTTTTCAGTAGTATCACAAATGTTGTTTCCCTGCACTTGCAACAGTGCAAGGTGGAAAAAGATGGCAGCACATAAATAAGTGTGGAATGTAGTTTCTCATTAGTCTAATGTTGTAGTCATTACAACAATCTTAAGGCAATTCCCATAATTGCAATGTGATTGTTAATGGAAGGAAAAGATAAATATGTTAGGTAAAAACTAAAGGGTCTCCTTGCACAGAATTTCAGTAAGCACACTGTGATAATTTGGGGAATCTGTCCATTTACAGCTACGAATTCCTGTCAGTCTCAAATTTATAGTAGTATCAAAGGCTATAGTGGATGAAGAACCAAGCCAATGTTATTAAGATTGGCATGACATCACTCCCTCATCACAAGCTCTGAGAAAAGATTCATTTGAACAGCTGTCATTCAAATATGTGTACTTTCAGACACAAGAAATAACTACACTGTAAAGTCTTCCTGGCCTTCCCTCTTAAGGGATGCTATTTATTAAATTGAACTTGCCCACAAACAACAAAAAATCAGATATTTTGGTCACTGGAACTGTTTAGTTTTCTAAAAGTAGAAAATACTTTCATAAGCAATAGCTTAGGTGCCTTTTTTTTTTTTTCAGTAATGAAAGTTTACACCACACTTCATTCTACAGAATGTACTATTTGTAACTATTACCATATCCACTGCATCATTCCTTATATGACGTGTCAATATTGCCACTTTCTAGGACAGGTCAGTAATTTAAAAATACTATATTTATTCTCTAACAATTTACAAGCCAAAGTGGCAATATCAGTCTCAGACGAAAAGAGTATCAAAGCAATATTTATGTAGTATCTACCATATCCATTTCAGATACAGAACATTTGATACTTGCCTGAGTCACACAGCCATTTGCTGCTAATGCATCTTCCATTTTTGCATATAAATTGAGTTAGTGGCTCACACGTTGGGAATTCTGTGAAAGTGTTCAAAAATAAAACTATTTAATGTATATCCTCTTTAGTAATACTCTTCTATAAATAAATTACACAAGTGTATTGTATCAAACATTTGCAGTTGCCAGATACTTAATTTGGCAAGGAAAAAAAGGCGAGACGCTGAAAAGAGAGAATGAAAAGGCTTTTGACTGTAAATACTAGTCTAAACCCTATCCTTCCTCAACATGGAACACTGAAATGCATTATTGTGTGTCATATAACATGGTCCTATATTCCCATCAGACCAGGGCTGTCTTTGCCACTAAGCATGCTAATATTTATGACTAATTATAGCTTGATGACTGATACAAACTGTATTTTCAACATTTTGATTTATACAAAAAAAGTTCTCCAATTGCAATAAAATTCCTGTAAAAGACAGGAAATGCAAGGCTATAAAATGAGAAAGTTGAGCACCAAGCAAAAGAACAGTCAAGAAATAAAGTTACTGTACACTGACATAATAAAATCCAAAATTGTCAGTGTTTACAATCATTTCCTCCAAGCATTCCAGTAAAGCAGTAGAAAACTGAGACAATATAATTCATAAAGTAGAGATTTATCTATATTACACACAGAGATTTGGTTTTGTTTCACATAGCACAACATTAATTTTTTTCAGGCTTCTTTTTCTTCTAAAACCAATGACATAGCTAAGTATGTATGTTTAAGATGTTAAACAATGCTTGACTCATTCAGTTTGGAAAACACAAGATCCACTCTAAAAAACCTGGCAATTCGTAGGAAACAATCTGAAAGTCTAACTTGATTCAAAAGGAATAAGGAGGAGCCTAAATTCTCTATACAAACCATCAAGAGAAGACGACACCTCTCAGTAACTGATACTTGATGCAAACCAAAGATGACAACATGAACAATCTGCCTGAGCTGCTACTTAAAGGCAAGTTTGCCCTTCACTGAAGGATTTCAAGTTGGAAATTCCTACATGATACATCCTAAATGCAACAGAAACGTCCAAGATAGTGCATAGTCCTGTCAGCCACACCAAAACTGCCCAAGATTAGAACAAATCTCCAAATGCATTCCTCATTAGGTTGCTCTAGCTATATCGGATTGTAACAACACTACAACAACAGAGACGGCAAAGCTAAACTTCACAGAGACTTTGAGAATTAGGTCATGTAATTAGTACTGAAGAGTTTTTCTAAACTTTTAAAGCATGCCACATAAATGTTACATTTCCTTAGGACAAGACTTGAAATAGTCATAGAAGTCAATGAATTTCTGACATGGGTTTGCTGTCTCCCGCCGTCTTTGGTGCAGAAAATATTTTAAAGTTAATTCAAAAGCTTTTTTTCTTTTTTTACAAAAACTCAGGGAAAGTTTGTCTTAAAGTCACGTATGAAGCACGAAACCAAATCAGCTGCATCAAATAGGAAAATTCAGAGATCACCAAGAGCATAAGACTGAAGTGATTATTCTCCTCCAACTCAGAAAAGGGTGGGAAGAAAAGTTAACGCTAATGGCAACACTTTGTCAATTATTCCTAGAAAGTTTTTTTTTGTTTTTCTTGGGGGAACATATTACAGCGACAACAAAAATCTGTTCCAAGACAAATAATGGAGATGTGCAAATATGATGGTACTTAGCTACAATATATGCCTTATGTGCTTCAAGCAAAGCTGAAAGCAATTTTTAATTTTGCTTTGTAGCTGCTCAATTTTTTTTCTAAAAAAATAACTCATATTAAATATAATTTTCCCCTTTTCCATACATGAATGTCTTAATGACTTTATTTTAACTTCATCTGTCTACCCAAGATCTGTATAAAGAGACAGAAACTAACATGAATTGTGATTGTCCTCACCTCCACCACCCATCTCATGATTCTCAGCCCACCAGTCTTTCCAAGGATGCTTCGCAGCATCTCCAGTGTTTGCTTCTCATAGCCCCAGACTCCTTCAACACCCTCAGCTCCCTCTGACATCCTAGAGCACAGGCACAACACTTCCTCCTCATTGTCCCTATGGTCTCCCCAGTGCCCCTTTCCTTTCCCTGTTTCCAGCAGAGATGCACATCCTGTAGCTGATTGACAGCCATCCCTGCGCCGATTGCCCTGCAGACAAAGAAAGCAAGGATGGTGCCTCACAGTGAAGTCTATCCACAGTGTAGACACCAATCTCCTTTCTCTCTGCTAACCAGCTATCTTGTAAAAGCTCTAGTTCTTCAATACTTCTTTCACCCTTCTGTTCTTGAGTACAAATGGTATGACACTGAACTGATAGGCAGACGGACACAAAAAATGACCACAAGTCTTGTTTCCTTTAGGAAAGCAGTGGGAAAAATAAGGAGGGTCTCTTTTCAAATTTTCAGAAATGTCGTGCTTCTTAGTAAATCTAGTTGTATCTTTACAAAAAGTGTATGCATTATGATACTGGCATCATCTTTCCAGTCCTGCTTACCCCAGCTATATGTCAATATAATTGTGTGTAAGTTCTTGAATCAATAGGAGCCAAAAGGTATCCATAGATGAAGACTGGTGCACTTAAAAAATCAACGATTCGTAATGTTACCAAAAGCAAACCATGATTGTGAATGGAAGAAGAATTTTAAACTGTTTCATAGAAGAAAATATATACCACTAAAAAAAAATAGTTAAATACATGCAATTAATATGTCCATTAGCCATCAAATTGTAAGGCAGAATGAAAAATGACACATCTGCACAACCACAGTACTCAAGAATAAATAAACAATATTCTAAAACATGAAACATATGTAAAGTTTGGTCAAACTGAAAAACAGCAGGTGAAATAAATGCTGGTTAAATGATCTGAAGAAATATTCCAGATCAGCTGACAGGATACCAAACAAAACACATGGGAAAGAAATTACAAAGATGTCATTAGCAGATGCATATCAATAAGGTGCTTGAGAACACAAGGTACAGCTAGTCAGATAGACTATTATAGTACCAAGTCACACATTGTCCCATTACACAGAGTAATTTTAGAGATTGCAAAATACACTGTGTCCTCTGGGAACACCTATTTTACTTCTCTACACAACAAATAGTACTTGAAGCATGGCAATTAGAAGACTACCTTAATAGTATTCTCATTTTTATTCACATAATGATTTCATTTTGATTTAGATTTTATCAAATACGTCATTTATTTTGAAGTAACTGATCAGATATCAATTACTCTCAATACAAAATTAGCTTGCTTTTTTTTTTCTTCTGGTTCCTATCACTAGTAAAAGAAGAAAAAGGAAGAAAGTAATAAAAAATAAGGCAAGAGAAAGCAGGTGAATATTCTAGGAATAAAAATCCTGAAAACTCTTGAATGCAGTCACAGAAGGAGATGCTGAGAATTACATATGGACTTGAAAAGTAACAATGTAAACCCAACTAATGGGTATTAGCTGGCTGCCAGTAACGAGTAATTCAAAATTAAACAAACTTAAGGGATTATGGATGAACAGAATTTAGTGATTTGATCCTACATAATACCTTCCATACATTGTCTGGTAATTGATGTCTTGGAGATTTATGTTTATGGCACACAGGGCATCATGGCATCAGGCTGTGACTTTCATTTATGCATTTACTTTCTCTTATTTTCTGGTCTCCACTGCAAGTGCTTTGTAGGTATTGAGATTTTGGCAGAAAAAACTGTTATCAGTAATAGAATTCTACTGAAAAGGCTTACAGCAGCAAGAAGTTTCAAAAAAGCAAAAAAAAAAAAAAAGGTAATGATTTATAAACTACCTACCTTGCTATCATAGTTTGATTTTGATTAAGAAACTGTATTTTTATAGCAGTGAATCGTTAGAATATCAGCTGTATCTGAGAAAAATACAGGTCTAACTACTAAGTATCCTAACAAGTACACTTTAGATTTTATTTTTTGTGCAGAACCTGTCACTTCATGTTTACACGGTTGAAGCTGCTAAAATAATCAGTCAGCATTCTTTCTTGAAAACTCTTGAAAAGCCATTTCAGAAACATACCCTTTTATATTGTTACACACATACTAATTCACATTAGTAAGTCAAATAATATCACAGATATTACCTTGTAAACAGGGAACACCCTGATACAATATTTTGCAGACAGCTCATTGACCCTTTTGCTCTCAGACTCACAGCCCTTACCTGCGACCTGCCAAACAGATGAAGGCAGTCTTGCTGACTTATAAAAATCTTAATTGTTTGGAAACAGCTGATTAGAGACCGTGCACCTCTTGGTAAAGCAGCAATCAGCAGAGCTGCTGATACTCTCTCACAATATAATGAAGAAAAAATATTTTTTTCAGCAAAATACACCATAAAATATCCTTCTGTTCAGTCTTGAAACAGTCTGATTTTATTGACATCTGGAATATGCTGAGGGGGCCCATGTGAAGAGGTATGCGGCTGAGATAAATATCAATTTTTGAGGGTGACAGTATGTTGTGGTTTAACCTGGCAGGCAGATCAAACAACCACACAGCCCTTTGCTCGCTCCCCCCAGTTGGATGGGGGAGAGAATTAAAAAAAAATAAAATAATAAAAAAAAAATGGTAAAACTTGTGGGTTGAGACAAAGACAGTTTAATGGGATATAAAAGGAAGACAACAATAAATAATAATAAAAAAAGAATATAGAAAACAAACGATGCACAGCACAACTGCTCACAATCGAAGCCTATACTCAGCTAGTCCTTGAGCCAAACTGCCTCCCAGCCCACCTCCCAGTTATATGCTGACCATGACATATGGTATGGAATATCCCTTGGGCCAGCTGGGGTCAGCTGCCCTGGCTGTGTCCCCTCCCAGCTTCTTGAGTGCCCTCCACCTTCTTGTTGGCAGGGCAGTATGAGAAGCTGAAAAGTCCTTGACTGCTTAGCAACAACTTAAACATGTGTGTTATCAACATTATTCTCATCCTAAATCCAAAAAACAGCACTATACCAGCTACTAGAAAAAAAAAACAACTCTATCCCAGCTGAAACCAGAACACAGCATTTGATAACAAGCTGTAAATTAGAAAAGTTGACTGATCTGCATATTTAGTATTGTATTTAAAAACTTGGTAATAAACAATGCAGCCTCTGCTTTGGGTTTATTTATTAATCAAATAAGTTACTTTTGCTATTTCAGAAAGAATATTGTCAGTTCATATAAAACCAAAAATGCCCCTCATACTTTTTCTATCCAGCAGTTCATGTGAAAGGACATCTGTATGTGTTTACCTTTTTATAAAATAATTTTACTTTTTTCCCCAAAAGAAAATTTACTTACCACAGGATATCATTTCATCGGTTTCATCTCCACAGTCATCCTCCCTGTCACACAGCCATGATGTCGGAATACAGCGTCCATTCCCACAAGAAAATTGGTCAACCTGACACGTTCTTGCTGTCAAGACAAAACACTCCAAAAATGCAAGGGAAATGGACTACATCTGTTAGGTCTCTTGGGGTATGTCTGTATCTGGAGGGCATCTCCTGGCCTGCTGCTCATTTTACCTGATCTGACTAAACATCGTTCACCTGCTTTGATTCAAGAGAAAATTGAGGTCATCTGTAGGACTGTGTTCTGCCTCTGTTATGTAGAATTCTTAGTGGTTTCTTTAACATATGAGGACATGAAGTTTTATATGTAATTACATAAAACTAGGTGGTAGAAAAGCATTAATGGTTGATTAAATAACATTAGTGCTAGAGTGGAAGTAAACAAAATTCAGGGCATAAAAATGTCTAACTTACAAGTGGAATATTAAAAAAATTGTATTGTTTAACATAAATAATGATCTAGTGAGATTCATATTTACACAGTAAAATGGTAATATAGCATGTATGTGATGTGCCTGGCCTCACCGTTCTTAGAATCTTTGCCTTTGCAAATATGCAACTGTAGTGATCCATTAAAGGAAATGATGTATGTCTGTCTTCTGAAGAAATAAAGACCACTAAAAGAAATCATGCCATGTAACTACATAAATTACTTTGAAAGCTGAAGGACAGTAAAGCTTCAATAAAAATCTAACATGTAAAACTGACATTACCTACAATTTTGTTTATTCAAAATGTGAACCCATAACTACAATGGCAGTGACAGTGACACAGATTTTGATTCCAAATTTAAGCTTTTAGAGTTCATCCATATGTGATTACACACTTAAAAAAAAATGACTGATACATCAGAAACCCCAATAATCAAAATAATATTTCTTCATTTGCTATTGTCAATTACCACTTTTGTTTTTCTTCATAGAAATACCCCAAAATACAATAGAAGAATAGAATTTTAAAATATTGCAAAAAAGTATTTTTTAAACATGAATAGTGTTTGCCACTGCAGGAATTAAAGGAAAAACAAGAATACAAAATGCAACCCACAGCCAGCTGACATAGGGATGTAAAATATGATCTTCAAATCAGACTCTTATCCTACAAGCAAACAATTGAATGTCAAAGGATATCAAGATGTATTAAAATCTGCAATAACACTGTAGAGGTGATATGGACACTATAGGTCTGCATTTGCACTAAAGGGCTTTTAGCCAAACTGCATGAATAACAAAGTGAACAGGTTATTACACGTATGAAAATTTATATCAAGGAAAATGAGTTCAGGGAATATTTTAATACACAATGCATGTTGTCTGTCACTGCATTTCAGTTTAAAACAGTCATCAGCTTATTGGTGTCTGGTATTTTGTACATCAGATATTTAGTGACTGTTTAGTGCACTCTACCGAGCTGCACTAAACATCATCTCCATATAAGCAAAGGACAGACTTGGAATTCCATGATTTATTGCAGTGGAGTAAATAAACGATCTTCATCTTGGTATTTCCCTTAAAATCTACTATACAGTTAATAACTTACAAATGAAAACAATTTCAAGCTACCAAGGGGAAAATGAATAACTAATTATGCTTTTGTCAGCATAAAATAAAATTTACCAGTGACACGGCACTCATCACAGCATGTTAACAAACAAAATTCTAACTGCCAAAAAAGATTTAGCAAGGACAAGTTTGTACCTAAGCAGCACTTTGACAGTCAACCCATATGGATAAATTAAGTGCTGAATTACTTTGGAAAGCACAGTCAAGCACAAGGATTAAATAAAATATAATTTATATTCCTGCCTTAGTGGCATCAAAATCTGAATTAATTTAAAATGGCAATAATCAGATTACTAGTAGCAGACTGGTTCAGTTCAGTTCAGAGCAGTCTTGAACTATTTATGGAATTGCAGTTATGCACAAGTAAGTAAAATTTTTACCTGCACAGGTTTTATTTGATTCATCTTCATTATTACCACAATCATTGGCTCCATCACAAAGCCACCTCTTGGGAATGCAGCGATTATTTTGGCACTTAAACTGATCATCAGGACAGCTATGATTGACTGGGGAGAAAAAAAAAAAAAAGAAAAGAGGTTTTTTTACCTAAGAAAATAATCAGAGAAAACCACCTGAAAATAATACCTTAAATAGTATTCCCTGGTGCTGCAGTTAGTATGGTTATCCTGCATATAGAATCACCATGATATAAAAACTGTTCAGCAAACCAGTCAATTTAAAAATATTGCAGTAGTTCAATCATAAATCAAACAATACATAGTAAAGATCCTCCTATCATACTAATGTCAATATGGAGATCCTCTTCTATTAACTAGTAGGTGATAAAAGGTAGCAGCATTTTACAATGTTGCTATCTCCTTAAAGAAAAATGTTCTCGATCACATTTTATCAATGTGATGAGGTTTACAAACTGAAGTGCCCATAAACAAAACAAACCACCAAAGGGAACAGATGCAAGTAGCTAAGTGCATATCCAAAATACTATACCACGGTGAGCAGGGATTTGCTCAGGTTATAAAATGCTACTAAAATGATGCACCGTCCTGTCAATGGCCACATATCGATCTGCTTTTTACTTACTGTGAAACTGTAGGTGTCAAAAAGTGAAATATGTAACAATGTGTAAAACTGACCAAAAAATCTGGTATTCAAGAGTGACCGAGGTATCTCAAACATGCTTTTGCTAGCTACCAATTATCATGGGAAGGGTGAAGACTGAATGCAGAGGAATTATGTAAATACTACTGGTCTGCTCTTGCAGCTGTACTAAGTGCTAATAGCAGGATCTATTATTAGCAGATCTTGCTAATCTTGATCTACACAAGAGCAGTAAACTACACACAGTTTCAAATGCAGGGTTAAAAATAATCTCAAGCTATTTTCCACGGACTCAGCCATCCACAGCCTCTTTTTTTTTTTTAAAGTTTAACATATATCTGGAAACAAACGGTATTTAAAATGAAAGGACATCTTGCAGGCTTATCCTTGACATTTCAGTAGCTTTTATCTCTGACCTTTTTACCTATTCTTCCGATTGAAAACAACACAGAGCGAGTGTGATATCAATAGCACATGAACCCTTCATGAGCGTTTTGTGTGGTGGGTGCAAGAACACTGTAAGTAAAGATTAATTAATAATCCTAGCAGAAAAGTATTCCAAGTTTCATAATACTTATGAAGCAACCTAGTTTGCACTGTGACTGGAGAACAAAAATTTATCATCCATGTAATAACATTAAAACTTGAAGACTTTAAAAAAAAAAAAATCTGACTTCCAATACTAGACATAGATATTGTTTTAAATGGTAGTTAAGATTTGCTCATATACATTTACTAACATGTGTGTATATTCTATTCATAATTGCAAATATTTCAGACTAACTCAAAAAGAACTACTAAAGTTACTATAGCAACTGCTGAAAAGAGATTATTGTTATCATACTGGCCACTTAAACTATATATCACATCCAGATTTGGGACCAGATTATGGTTTCATTTATATCTGTATAAATACTTTGAGAATTACAAACTTTGATCAATCAACTGGCCTAAATTACACTAATTTAAATGAGAATAAAGTCAACTGTGCCAAAAGATTTTCATTCCCACTGTCTTTATTAGTTCAGCTTCTTACTTAAGTGTAAGAGTCCTTGGTATGAAAATAAAATGTTAGTAAGCACTAGAATTCAGGACTGGACAAATGTTTTGAAAAGAGTCAGGACTGAAATCTGTAACGACTACTACATGGAGCTATCAAAATATATAAATGCAGGAAAAAAAGAAAAAATATGTAACAGCCATACAGAGAAAGATGTAGGCATTACAGAGAATCACAAGCTCAGCATCAGCAACATCAGGTCAGTGTGAAGCAGGTAGGATTTATCCAAGGATGCATAAACGGGACTATCAACCCTCACAAATGTGTTCTCTCAGACTAACTAGCTTCCCAAAGGCCTCAGCAGAAGTACACAGATCGAGTTTTGGACATCCAAACCCCAAAGATCACATGGCAAAGTTCAGAAAAGAGCAATGAAATCTACAAAAAAGCATAATCTACTGGGAAAAAAAAATAAATAACAGATTAGAGCTGTTTTGTCTCAAAGAGGTAAGAATGAGAGCCAACAGTAAGAGCTTTCAGACACACAGAACAATGCTGCACAGTAGAAGAGTGCATCAATGTCTACAGTTGATAGGAAAAATATAATGTATTTTCATTTCAGTAAAGGAGATTTGGTTTAAAGAAATGATCTAATGACAGAAAAAGGAAGCATTGCAACAAATTGAGTCAGAAAAGGCATTTTCACTGCTGCAACTTTAATTTTATAGCAGGCTACCTAACTATCTTCCAGGAATGACACAGATATGTAATTGGTATGTTTTCTATTATTTTTCATTTCAACATCAGGACTCCTCTACAGTAAAAAATTACAGCTCTAGTAAAACTGTACTTTTAAAGACAAAGTACATTTAAATTTAAATTTAAAATTTTTAATTTGAATTTAAAAATCTAATCTAATTTAAAACTGGAAGTGTGTGTGGGATTGGGGGTTTTTGTTGGTTTTGTTTTGGTTTGGTTTTGGGGGGCGTTTGTGGTTTGGTTTTGTAGGGGTTTTTGTTGGGGTTTGTTTGTTTTATTTTATTTTGTTTTGTTTTTTAGAAATACATTACAGAAACATTGAAGGTTGGAAGGGACCTGTTCAGGTCACCTAGTCCAATCCCCAGTTGAAGCCAGGCCAACTAGAGCAGGTTTCCCAGGACCATGTCCATGTAAGTTTCAAGTATTTCCATAGACAGAAACTCCACTACCTCTCTGGGCAATCTATTCCAGAGTTTGACTATGCTTGCAGTAAAAAACCCTGTGTTTTCTTGTGTTCAGATAAAATGTCATGCTTTTCAATTTATGTCCTTACCTCTTGTCCTCCTAGTAGGCACTACTAAGAAGAGCCTGGCTTCCTGCTCTTGAGTCCATCTTCTGCCATCTGGTATTTATACACATTGGCAAGTTCCCTACTGAGCCTTCCCTTCCCCCAGACTGAACAACCCCGGCTCTCCCAACTTCTGGGACAGATGTGCCAGTCACTTAACCATCTTAGTGGTCCTTTCCCGGACTCGCTCCAGTAAGTCCCTATCTTTTTTCATACTGGGGAGCTCAGAACTGGACACCATCCTCCTGATATGACCTCATCAATCTGAGTAGAAGGGAAGGCTCACCTCCCTCATCCTGCTGGCGATGCTTTTCCTAAAGCAGCCCAGGATGCTCCTGGCCTTCTATGCCATGAAGTGCATTGCTGGCTAATGGTCAGCCTGTTACTCACCAACAGCATCATCCACAAACTTGCCGAGTGTGCACTCTGTCCAAGTCATTAATGAGGACGTTACTGGCCCCAGCATTAACCCTTGGGCTACACTGCCAGTGACTTAGCTCCAACTGGACATTGTGCCACTGATGACAAGCCCCAAGGTCTGGCTGTACAGACAGTTTCCAATCCACCTCACTGTCCACTTACCTTAATCCTCTGTCAGCTTGTTTATGAGGATGGTATGGCAGACAGTGTCAAAAGCCTTACTAAAGTTGAGATAAACAATATCCACTGCTGTTCCCTCATCCACCAAGCTAGTCACAGCACTACAGAAGGCTATGAGGTTGGCTAAGTGTGACTTCACCTTCATAAATCCATGCTGACTACTCTCAATCACTTTTGTGTCCTTCGTGTCTTTGGAAATGGTTTCTGGGACTAATTGCTTCACCACTTTCCTAGAAGTTGAGGTGAGGTTGGCCCTGCTTTATGAAGGCTGGACTAGAGACACTGTGAGGCTCCTTCCAACCTGAATTATCCTGTGACCCATATAAAAAAAAAACAAAAAACAAAAAAAACCAATAATGGAAACAAAGCAAAAACTACAAGCATCTAAAGAATCAAAAATGATGATATCAAAACCAAAAGATGACTGCTCTGTACTATGCTATGAAACGAGTATATGTGTCATTTGAAAGGACTACTATTATTATATGCAGGAAAAAAGAGAAAATGAAAGATTTACATGAATGACTTAAGGATGATCACTTTTGTTTGACTCCCCTCAGACTGACATAATTTTGTAATTTTAAAAATAAAGTATGAATTGTGGGTTAAAATGCAAAAGCATACATACAGCAAATTTCAGAATGCTCATCACTGCCATCCAGACAGTCATCATCCCCATCACAGCGCCAGCGATCTTGGATGCAGCGCTTGTTGTTACACTGAAACTGTTCAGCTTTGCACAACTGCGGTAGCACTTCTCCATGTTTAACTAGGAAAAATATCCAAGAAGCACATCTATTTTATCAGCTTGATACATACAGAATGCAATACTACCTCTACATAAATAGATATAAATTCTTATTATCACTCTTCAGAACATTTTTTAGTAAACTTTGCATATTTGAGGTAATTCCAGCTGAAGCCTGTAGCAGCATGCATATCTGAGTGTATGGTTGAGGCAATATATTTTTAATGGAAGAACTCAGCACAGAATGGCACTCAAACTGTTTTTTAAATTGGTGCTTAGATGATAGTGTAAAAATATCAGTTTAAAATATTGCAATGCCTCATCACCAGTGAAAAGAAAATATTCTTACAGACACAGACCAAATTCTGGTGCACATTAAAGGACTAGAACACGATTACTGAAAAGCTGATTCTTGTATCCAAGCAACAACTCAAACACCTGCATTATGCACTGGTACAGACTCGGCAAAGAAGAAAGGATAAAATTCTACTGAGGTAGAATTAAGTAGTGAGCTACAAGCTTATTGATAAATCCAGACAGATACATTTCTCAACATAAGGTTCAGAATGCTTAATGTGTAAATACCACACATCACTCTATGACCCTATGAGGAACACGAAAGTCCTTGGAAAGAGCTGGGCAATGAAGTGTGTTGGGGAAAAAAGCAGGAAACCTGCTTTGTTCAGGTCTGAAAGTGTCTAACCTCTCTTCCTAATGCTTACATTCCATCTTACCAGTGAGAAGTCCACCTTCCAGTATTTTCTGCTAAAAAGAAAAATAGTTTTCTTTAGCAACAGTGATGGCTCTGCCAGCCATGTATTTGGGTCAAATTCAAGGTAATTGCAAGCTCAATAATATTCATCATGTTATGAAATAATCCTTATGGTTTACTCATCTCTGCTAGACTTACTGCTGGAGACCTAAAGTTTTACACACTACACTTCAAAAAACAGATCAATGAGATTAAAAAAAAAAAAAAAAAGAAGAGAGAGAATTTTGAGTAAGTTACAAATATCAGGTCTAAACATTTTTAAAAATATCTGTATCATCCAATGAGTTCTTATTTTTAATTGAAAATCCCACATTTTATTAGTAACAGATTTATTTTTTTATTGGTGTTTCGATGAAGATATCCAAGGAAGAGATTTAAGGAAAAGACAGTGAAATTTGTGCAGTCTGTGTCAGGTCATATTATACACAAATATATCTGCTTGACATGTTTTATGAACGGTTTCAGCACAAACATTTTCTAAGTCAGAGTTCAATTTAAGATACTTAATCCATACAATAATCTGAAACCAGTTTATAGAGATTTAATCATAACATTTTGTGGTATTTCTGATATTCTTTAAAAGAGTTCAATGAAATATTTAAGTTCTTTATCATACCAGACATTCTGAAATATTTTCCAATGCATTTTATCCTCAAATATTGTGTATTTAATATTTTGTCTTTTTAGAAAAATCTTTATTATATTTAATAAACTGTCTTCAATTAGAATCTTTATTCAAGGAATATTTCTTTGTCTTACAGAACGGCAAAAAGCCTCTAGAAGACTGCACTTTCTTATTTTATTTTCATATTTGACATGATCCCTTAACAGAAGTCTCAACTCAGATATTCTTTAAAAATCTTACTCATGCACGTTGTACTGTTTTCCTCCAAAAGCTGATTATCAGCACAGGCACAAACTCTGCCTCCAGGAATGGCTAAACAAAGAGTGCTGCAGCCTCCATTATTAACACGACATGCATTATCACCTGTGAAAACAGAAAAAGCAACTTTAAAACTAACAGCCATGCTAGAACTAGAGGATTTTTTTTGTTTAGAACGTAAGCACATCAAGAATTTTTTAACATTATTTTCCTCTCATTTTAAGGACAGATTATTCTCACAGCTTTGTTACTACAGGTTATAATATTTAAACAATTTTAGTTACAGGTTGCAATAACCTGTAAGAATAAAAAAAACCCCTACACCATCAGGTCACAACATTTTACCTCCCTTTTTTATGAGGGGATCAAATATTACAAAAATTTAATATCACGCAGCTACATGCACATAGTTGTTTCAAGAAATTAAACAGTATATAAAGGAATGTTTGGAAGTATACTGGCATCTGCACATGTTAAAACAATGTGACTACAAATGCAGACTGAGAAAAAAAGAGAAAGGAAGCATAAATTAAAAGTATAACGAGATCTATGGCAGATAGAATGCAAGGCAGATATTCCACTACTCTTTTCTAAATACATCTGCTATTTCTCTGTTTTCTTTTTCTGTGTTACTGTTTCTTCCCAAAAGCTGTATGCTGTTCACATTAAGATTCTGACAGCTGTCAGGTGTTTTAATCATCTACCAAGGACTGCTGCATCCTTGCTACCTCATTTCTTAGGCAAGTAGACTTAAAATCGATGCCCACTGAAACAAGTGTTACAATTTCTGTTTGGGTCACTTTGGTCATGACCTAATTGCTTAGATGTGCACTGCTGAGGGCATTCAACTTCTGATGACCAAAGCTCTGTTAATTCCAAGTGTTGGTGATAACTATGATCAGGCAAGCTATAAAACTTCATGTCTGCTGAATCTTTAAATTAAAACTATGTTTTTTCATCTTCCTGTCCTAGCAAAAAGCAGGTGTTCCTTCCTCTGCTCCTCCTTTTTACGTGTACAAAACATTCAGCAACTTCCTGGGTTAAAACAGACTCCACACAATTCCCTCTCCTCAAAGTACTACCCCTTCTCTTTTCACAGAAAATATAGTATTATGTTCTCATTATGGTGGCTGCAAACACATATATTAAACTGTCCTGTTAGAGCCATAACTGCATGTGCAGGGAAACATTTTCAAATAATCAAATGAATAATTTGCAAATAATTTAACACTTTGAAATTTTTCAAATTTTAAGATGTACCTCACTATGTCTTACAATACAGACCTTGAGAATTTCATAATAGTCTATTCCTAGACTTTTTTCTGACCCACCATACATCATTTCTCAGAAGCACATGTGCCTACAGTCCATTAAAACCCCATTGAACTTTCAAATAAATTTGTGTAAAATAATTAATACAGAATGCTGTGGGAAGCCACTGTGGTACCTGTACTTTCATTGGGTAGGGTGTGGGGGAGATGGCAAAACCATAGCTGTATAAACAGAGAAAATTGGAATTCTCTGTGAAGTGTGAGAGCTGGATCACAATTTTAGACAGAGCAGCTCCAACAGACTGGGGACTTAAAATACTGTATTGGATCTTGACTTCATGTTTTAGACAATGGCCTAATGTATACAATGTATAAAAATTGACTCCTTTATTAGGTCTCTGCTCACCAAAACCCAAACAATATGAACAAAACATCAAAAGAATAAGGGATGTATTTTCACTTAAATCTTGGAAAATCTCAGGTACACCACCACCTCAGAAAAAGTAGCCTTGAAACTCTCTACATCTTTACAGGGCCAACCATTGTACAAATCAAAGAATTTCAGTAACACAAAGATTTAAGAAGATATCAGAAGCTGCCAAAACAAACCAACCAAAGTATAATCTTCAAAGTGAATCCAAAATTATAGAGCTGTAGTCAAGTAAATTTGCAGTTATTTAATTAAAGAATATACATGAGTTTGTCAGATAACTAAAAAAGAATAAGGCTATAGAATAAAAGACTATTTAAGATAAATATAGAAAACACTTTGAAACCCCACAATGATTCTGAAGCCCAATGCAAGCTTAAAATAAATCAAAATTAAAACACTAGATCAAAGTCAACTGGTCTGCCTTGAAGATGAAAAGTTCCTACTTAACCTCATAATTGGGATGACAAACTACAGCAGAGTCAGTTACTTGCTAAGTAAGTGATAAAAGAGAGGATGACAACAAGGAAAATATCAAGTACTAGGAGTTAAAGAAACAAGATCCTAGGTAAAAGTTTATAAAGTGAGGTTTAAGGAAATCTTCAACCTGAAGGTGCAATGAGACCTTGAGTCCCATCAGTCTCACTGAAGAGACTCCTGGGCTAAAATGTCTGCTGAAATGCAGTACAAGTCTCTTTATTTGAGTAAGCTGTGGAATGTGTTTAGCTACCAAGTATTTATGAAATTAAATTTCTTCAACTGCTGGTCAAAACAGCTATTTTATATAGGTGTTCTTAAAATATTCCCGAAATTTTAAAAGAACTTTCAAAGCTATTATCATATTTTTTCAGATTTTGTCAGCTTTTAAAACAGCTGCTGCCCTGCCACTTGCATATGATTAAATTAGACTGATTCCATTTTAATTTGCTAAAAAATTAGGCCAGAGCTAAGACAAAAATGTACTTGCATCTCAGTCATCACTCTCAGGAAAAAAAAATAAAATAAAATATGGCAACCATATATATTTGTTTAATCTTCTTAAGATACACAAAATTATTTATTGCTGCTTAGTAATCACTGTACTTCTATGTTTTTCTGAGTATTCATTTATGTTTGTACCTTCCCATAAAGCTAACCTCAAGTACTGCTAAAATTGTATAAGCCTACTTTTACAATCATACTACACCTATGAAGAGCAGTAGCCTGGGGCTCAAGCAGCTCTTCTTTACAATCTGAGGAGTTAAAACATCAATTGATTTCAAAGAAGGCTGTTTTAATTGCTGTAAATGGACTTACACAAGAATTACTTACATACAAATAGCAATCTCCCCTTTCATAGCAGTGGAAATACCCACAGGCCTTGGCAGGTCCATCTCCCATGACTACTATGCTTCCCATCACCTCCCCATTTTTTAAGGTATTCCTGACACACTGTAAACCCAAAGACTACGCCTAAGAGCATAAGATGAATTCTAATCTCTGAAAGCAAGAAAAAAAAAGTTTCTCTGGAAGAGGAGGATGCCTCATGTGATACAAAGACCGTGAAAAAACACCTCTTCTTAAGGAGATCCCAAAGAAGCTTCATGTTTCTACCGGCAGTACTAAGCAAAGCAGGATTGGCACAGTCAAGTATCCTGTAAAACACCTCCTGATAAAATTGCCAGCCTCAATTCAACTATGACGAAATGAACTGACATGGTTTCTGCTTGTGTAGTCAGTGACAAAAACAGCAGCATCAAACCAATAACCTCAAAATATCAGAGCCAAATGTTTCTAAGGTATGTGTGCATAAGCTGTAAAACAGAACTCCTACCATGAAATGAACTACTATGGTTTTCTCTGTACCACATGATTCAGCCTTCATCTTGTTCTTTCAGAAGAAATACACAAACACACAAAATTAGCTTCACTTTCTCTAAAATAAATGCTTATGCTCTTTTGGAAACAATGTAAGATCAACCTCACCGAGCATGACAAAAAGGGAAGATCCTAAAGGCTGCAGTTAGCTTACAAAATTCCAATTGCAATTTCAAACAAGGAAGCATTAATGAGCCAAATTCTCATTCTCAATATTTAAGCTTATTTAGCTAAAAATGTCTAAGGTAATATTTTAGTCTTCAAGTCTCTGGTGTTAGCTTATTTGAAGCTAATGGCAATTGCATTCATTTTTAATTCTCCCTTTTTTCTAAAAAGCAAAGGAAGTTTCTGAGTACTGAATAAAGCAGCAGAAGTATTTATGGCAATCACCACATTTTATCTTAGCAGACACAGTTCAAAGTATTCTGAAGTTTGACCAAGTTGAGGGTAGGTTTGGGGGCAGATTTTGTCTTAAATAAACCCCCCAAAACTCAACAAAAATCCCCAAACACAATATGCTTTTACATGACTTTGGAAGTAAGAAACAGTCCCTGAAAAGCATCTGTGATAAGAGACGCACTGTTACAATGACCTTGACATACTACATTTTGGTTTAGGTACTGAAAATTTAGATGTTAAAATAGCAGAAGAGAAAATTTCAGCATTGCCTCCATACTCATAAAACCAATTACAAGTTGGCTGTTGGGACCTCAGCACTCCCTAATCAAGTAATAATCTCAATGGCTTTCCCTAAGAAAGCCTAGCTGGACATATAAAAATGCTATTC